TGAGCAATTCATTTACAAAACTGTATAATACAAATAGGGGACCATGAAGATCCTCCTTTAGAATTGAGCAATATATTTCCTCTCTGAGCAATATCTATGAATGGAATGTAAACTCACACATTGTAGTACACTGTCAAAGTCAAGATTATTCTTCACAAGACTGAACAGTGTCTCCTACTCTAACTCAACATCATCTTTCTCTTCTTCATTATTCCAATCTTTAACCAAGACTATTATTAAACATAATTTTAAACATTTTTTGTTCCAAAACTGACAATGGATCTCTATGATCTTTAATAGCAAATCAAAACTTATATTCTTCCTTGTTTTCTTGATCCACTAAATTTCAGTCAGCATATCTTTCTGACCCTATATCTGTTACTTTTCAACATGCAGTGTTGCTCTACTTAGACATTTCACATTCACTCAATAAGAGCGCCTAATTTATGTTGTTTTCTTTTACCTCAACTAATCACCTCCCCTGGTGCTTTCTAAATGTGACTTATCCTTAAAGCTCTAAGTCAGTCCCACGTCTAAGGTAAATACATATCAATCTTTCACTTCTATGAATTCTTCTGAGTCTCACTGTATTTCTCACTTCATCATTTTCTACTTTTGTCACACTCTTTATCTACCCAGACTTCTGGAGGTCAAGGACCTTTTAGAGATTACCCACATTACCCACAAAATGGCAGGTACAATAAATATTGGCTGATTAATTGATGTTGATCCTTGTTGCAAGCAATTCTTATTTGTTTTTGTTAAAATCTAAAGTAACTTATTAAAACATTTAAAATTCCTTGAAATATATTTATTGCTTTATAAACACAAAGTTTCTCTAGGAAAGTTAGACAAAAAGTACAAAATCAAAGAACTGCAAAGTAAATTATGCCTGGTCACACTTTTAAAGTAGTGCTTCCTTTCCTCTTCCTTTACTCCTCTTCCTTTGAAGAAGAGTAAATACATTATTTTATCATGTCTGATGAGTTCCACGTGAGGATTTAAGTAAAAGAGAACACTTAGGCAAAGAATAATGTTTTAGTTGGAATGAGGTAGTCGTAAAGTAAATAACTAGTGAAATGCTACCCTCTTTCTCTCACACCACAATACATTCTGATTTGTAAGATACCACAAAATAGCTCACTTGATAGGATACTCAAACATGAGATTTTTTTTTTTTCCTCTGGCACCCCAGCAATTTTTTTTTCTTCTATTTTATATTCTGGATACTGTCCTACTCCCTTGAGATTTTATTAACACTATATAGTTTCCAACATTCTTGTCAAGAGAACTCTTAAAAATCACCCCTATTGTCCTTAGTTGACATAGTCTTAAATTCTGAGATATGTTTTCCTGAATACCAATAAAATGTAGGATACAATCCACTTCAGAAGTAGCAACACCAAATACAGATAACCTGAACTGACTATTCCTATAAATTAGGTAAAGACAAATATCTATGTATGGAAAAGAAAACATGTGAAACAAATGGAGAATTTGCAAGCCCTAAAAATGCAATAGAATCTCCTTGGATGGCACTTTCAGTTCCAAGATGGAATTTTGGAATTAACCATTCTAATAGGATTAACCTGGAACAAGTCTATTCTTGTTTTTAAAGTTGTGCATAATTCTAGGATAAGATTACTTTTTGATATTTGAGGTGTGATTATTTTGTTAAAAATATTACAGAAGAGTGAATTAATTGACAGTTTGTTAAAGATGTTGATTCTAGACACTTAAATTGTTAAAACAAAATAGAACAATGAATTTTATTTAGCTCCAGTTCTAGGAAATGGATCAGATGCACGAAAAGGTACTCAACATCAGTAATCATCAGGGAAATGCAAATCAAAACCACAATGAGCTATCACATCATACCTGTTAGGATTATCATCATCAAAAAAAAAGAGAGAGAGAAATAATTACTCTGGTGTTGATGTAAAGAAAGGGAACCCTTGTGAACTGTTGCTGAAATTGTAAACTGTTACAACCACTGTGGAAAATAGTACAGAGGATTGTCAAAAAATTAAAAATAGAACTACCATATGATCCAGTCATTTCTTCTGAGAATTCACCCATAGGAAATGAAAACACAAACTTGAAAAGATATCTGCACCCCTACATTCACAGCAGCAATAACTTACAAAAGCCAAGACACGGAAACAACGTAGGTCCATCAATGAATAAATGGATAAAGAAGCTGTGGTATACATATATACTATGGGATATTATTCTACCATAAACCTGGAGAAAATCCTGCTATTTGCAACAACATAGATGGACTTCAGGGGAATTATGCTAAGTGAAATAAGTCAGAGAAAGATAAATACCATATGATCACACTTATATGTGGAGTCTTAAGAAAAGAAACAACTCAGAGATCAGATTTGTGGTTACCAGATGTGGGTGGGGGAGGTGAATTGGAGAAAGGTGATCAAAGGTACACACTTCATAAGTACTAGGTATAGCATGACTACAGTGAACACTGCCATAATATATATAGGAAATTGTTGAGAGTAAATTCTAAGAGATCACAAGGAATTTTTTTGTTTTTTATCATATCTGTATGAGATGATAGATGCTAACCAAACTTATATCAATGATCATTCATAATATGTCAAATCGTTATGCTGTATACCTTAAACTTACACAGTTATGTATGTCAATTATATCCAATAAAACTGGAAAAAATTAGATGAAGTGAATTTTTTCTTTATTTCTAGATATCACATCATCTATTAGTTATCTGCTGAAAACATAAGCACTCACAACCATATGGCTGGGTGTCACATCTCTCCAATTGTTCATTGTATGGTGATAATTGCTAATTTCCTCAAACAAGGAACTCCTACTACTAGGTAACAAAAGTGTTCACATAATTTTTTTGTTTTAGGAAAGCTAAACATAACAGAAATGCAATCATTACACATTACAAATCTAAATCCAGAAATCATTCCCTCAAGCGCAACTGGAGAAGCATCAAATTATAATGTACAAAATGGAGTGGCTTTGATTTAAACACAATTATAGCTAAAATATAATCAGGTATTGGGGTGTCTCTTGAAATAATTTAAGAGAATTAGTTGTGTTTTTCTTTGCCTTAAGTAGCATTCCAAATAATCAATGAATTTCTCAATATAGGGACATGTATTATTTATCTTTAGTTTGGTCTTTTTGAAAACTGAACCATGTTATGCTTCTGTAGTAAAGTTAAATTTTTTAATGGAAAATTTTGACCATAGCTATTTTTTTTAGGATTTTATTTATATGACAGAGAGAGACACAGTGAGAGAGGGCAAGTAGGGGGAGTGGGAGAGAAAGAAGCAGGCTCCCCACCAAGCAGGAAGCCCTGGATGCTGGGCTGGATCCCAGGACCCTGGGATCATGACCTGAGCTGAAGGCAGATGCCTATGCTTAACGACTGAGCCACCCAGGTGCGCCTTGCGCATAGCTATTTTGCAAGAGAATTTTTTTAATGCTTTGGTGATTATATGTTAAATGTCTTTATAAGAGTATCACAAAACAAGATTTATCTATGAAATGATATAAGGAAATGATAGTTTCAGATCAAGACAGACCATAAATTAGATATTTTGTGGAGTAAATCACTTGTGGGCATGCATTCATGCATGTATGTTTTATCTATTCCTTCTGATTTTTAAGAAGTCTGTAACATTCTCTAAATAAAATAAAGAGGCTGTCTCTGAACCCCAGGAACAGCATGGTTTTTGAAATCTTCATCAAGCCAGTAACACCTACATAGCTAAGAGAAGAGCCCAATTACAGTAAAATCTTAGATGAGTTTTATACAATTACTCAGTAATTGGGAACATGCCCCACATTGGTGGAACCCTATTTTAAATGGAGTTCTCCTCAGTTATTAAAGAAGTAAAACATTAACATAGTTAGAATAAATAGCCAGAGTATACTAGAATAGGGTATTCCTGTGTTTAAACAAAAAATGACAAAATATGCATATTAAGAGTAGGATGTCAACTCTGCAAAATAGTACTGCTACTGTTCCTTTAATGCAATGCATATGTGCACTAAAAAGTAAGATACTAAATCTATCAACAGGGACCCTATATATACTATTTCCTGAAAGATTATACCTAGAGTTTTAAAGTTAAATGGAGTTTGAAAATTCTTTTTAACCTGTTACAGACATTCTTTGACTATGCAGCTTTAATAAACCAAGACAGCATTTGGTCCTAAAAATAATCACTACTGAAACAGTTCATACTCTATTTGCCTCTAATTTAAAATTTGCAACTTCAGACATATAACATTTTTTAAAGTCAGATTCATTTGCAAAAATGTTTTGAGTCCCAACTTAAAGGACAAAGAAATATATTATTAACAAACATATCTAGCAAACTTTCTTTACATTCACATCATTGGGCTAATAATAACATTTTAATTTCTATTTCATGTTCGAAAATACTATTTCTAAATATTTACGTATATTGTATATATTTATGTACACAATGAATTTATGGTTCAAAGCTAATAGTATCTCATGTGTAATTAATTTGGTTAATTCAATTGGAAGTACTGTTTAAAGATAATTTATTATAAGATAATTGTTAATATTTTCTAAATTATGACTTTGGAAAATTTTTGTGATTATTTTCACTTTCAAATATAAAACCTGAAGTAAAGTTGCAATAATTAATACAAGTACTTCACAGAAATTTTCATTTACCATATAATATTATTTTCTACACACAAAATACTAGAAAATCAGAATGAAGTCACCTCAGTGAAAGATAACTAAAATACTCAATTATTGGATTAGTTTCCTTCAATAATAAGATTTGATGAACAATCACTACAAAGATGCCAAAATTTATTTTGCTATATGAAATAGTAAATGTAATCCTAAAAATCCTAAAAATCCTAAAAAATGTAAGCACTATCCATAGCAAAAGAAATAGGAAGATTTATCATTAGTTTAAGTCTTGTAATTTATTCTTTTAGCTTTCTAATGGTATAGTATAATCGCTTCTCAGCCTTTTGGCTAAGATCAAGTGTAGCATATAATAGTATAGTATAGTTTGGCAGTAATGAACATTTCAGACTCTTCTATAAAATCTGTTTAGCAAGTGTAACTCATCTAAAGAGTTCCTTTTTAGAGTTTTTATTGACTCATTGAGTAACATAAATCTTTGCAATCATAACGTAACAGGATAAATGTTATTGTCAATATGAGGAATATAAATCTTGACTGATTTTGATAATTCTTTAGGGGCCATTATTGTAAGTTTACTTTTTCTTAATGTCTTTATACAACTCACAACAACTGGGGAGTTCCTTTCGTAAGACCATATGACACATTCCATGCTGAAAACCCCACCCTCGTCCCCTGGGAGCCTACATCCAGAATCATGAGCCTCTGCCTCCCTGGATGGAACAAACTAGAAAACTATTCAGTACAGGTAGACCGTAGAAAGGTAAAAAGATCAGAATAATGACTAAAGCATGCCTTTTAAAAAATATTGACTTTTAAGGCATTGCTATAGTAACATTTAAAATTCTTAAAATCAAGTGCCAGCGGAATACCAGGATTTACCATTTCAGATTTCTCCAAGTGTTTCTGTGCTGGCTTTGTGAGTGAACAGAAATAAAGCCAAGAAGCTTGCTTTCACATAGAGTTATAAAGGCCTGGAAAGGAATATACAAAGAGAATTCTCAGATGAGAAGTAAAAAATGAGATCTGTGAATGCTTTCATAAGACAAGGTCAGAGTTGAAATCAAAAGAACAGTATCCATTGAACATATTTATGTCTACTTATCATATGTAATAATAGCTGTGATGCAAGAATATTTTAGGGATTAATTTCAATGAATTTAAGCTAATTTCAGAATTATCTTAATTAGATTTAAAATGAATTCTTTGGTTCAAGTTTCAGGTGGGGTTTCACAGTTTTTACTTTTGGAAGTAGAGGACAGAATAAAAGAGCACAGGATTTGGAATCGGGCACCCACATTTTAATCTCTGCTGTCATTGGTTGAGCAACCTTGGGCTATGTGCTTAACCTTGCTGATCTTCAGTTATCTCATCAGAGACTGGCAATAATAAGACCTACCTCAGGTAGTTGTGAGATTAAAGGATAACATATGAATAACCTAAAACAGTTCTTGACACAATTCTCTAAATGCATATTAATCTTCCATTCCCCTTTCTTTTTTCTTCCTCTCCTAATCCTGAGGAAATATAAAATGGTGAAAATACAGTCAATGACATGGCTTTCTCTATGAAACGCTTGAATGGAACATAGGGATTGTGCAAGGCTCATATATTCAGATTTCATTCAATGGTGAGATAGAAGGGTAATCACTCCAGTGGAATTCCAGTAAAAGCCTTTCTTGTTCTCCCTGGGGAAAAAAAAAATCTGCTTACCTAGATACTGAAAAACACATCAGGTACACCTTAAATTATAGTCACAGTGGGCATAAGGAAGAGAAATTGGAAGGGAAGGCAAATAGACAACTGATTAAAATAATTAACCAGTTTCAGTTAAAAGTGGTGGAGTGACCACATGTATTCATTTCCTCTTCGTCATCTTTTTTCATCCCACAAAGTCAGAGTGAATCAAATACATTTCAATAACTTTGGAAGATCTAAAGAGGATAAAAGGAATGAAGAAGACCAATGAGAAGGAAGACAAACTTGCACCGGCAGAGCCAAGAGGCTCGGCAAGAGATGCAAGGTGGCGGGGGTGGGGGGGGTCACAGCTCCTCTTCCACACATTAGCAAGATCAGCAGCTTATTCTCTGCAGAAATTAAATGTGTGCATGGGGGAGCCTTTGAATTGGGAATGCTGAAGGAAAAGTTGTGGAATTCCACACACTGAACTCTTGACCCTTACTTAGTCTCTCTGGCAATATTATTCTTGCTTCCAGACAAGGCATTAGAGGGTCCTTCTCTGAGAAACTGGGTCTCCAAAAGAACAGACCTTCAAGTATTGACTTACAGGGAAAACCAGTTACTAAACTCTATGCAGATGCAGAGTTTCCAATTAATTCTCTAGTGCCTTATTTTTAAATAATAATGAGCTGCAGAAAATCGTCAACTTTTGAAGAAAATCTTTGGTAGGAAAAACAGAAAACCATTCCCACCATCATCTTAGAGAAAGGGTATGAAAGTTAAAGAGATAATCAAGAATCACTGCTCCAAAAACTATAATGTAAAAACTTTAATATAAGAGAGTAAATATTGTCTGATGAAATAAGAATAGGTTACTATGACCTCAAAACAATCAGAAGGCAAGAAAAAGCTTCTGATAATTAAAAACATAACTGAAATAACTCAGGAGATAGTTTAGATATTGACAGTTTCCCACTGAGTAAAACCAAATGACAAAGATAGGAGAATATGAAGAGAATTAAAGGATCAATCCAAAAATCCCAATATCCAACTAGAATGAGTTCAGTAAAGAAAACCATTCCATAGAAATTATAAAAAAAAATTCTGAACACAAGTCTCCTTAATGAAAGGGCCTAAAAAATGACTAGCAAACTGAATTTTAAACACACAAAGTTGCCTCATTATGAAATATTGGAATGATAGGGATAAGGATACCAAAAACTTCAGCAGTATAGAGAGAAAGATAAGGGCACATAGCACAGATCGGAATTCAGAATCACCAGACTTCTCAATAAGTAGGTCAAATGTTGGAAGATAATGTCTAAAACATTGCAGGGAAATTTTTTATTTCACTTATGTGGGATTTAAGAAACAAAACAAAGAAAAAAGATAAATAGAAAAATGCAAAGAACCCCCCCACACACACACACACCAGACTTTTAAATACACAGAACAAAATGGTAGTTGCCGGAGGGGAAGTGAGTGGGAGACGGGTGAAAGAGACAAAGGGGATTAAGTGGTATGAACTTCCAATTACAAAAGAAGTCACAGAGAAGTATAGCACACTAATTTGAAAAGATGTATGCACCTGTATGTTTATTGCAGCATTGTTTACAAGCCAAGATATGGAAGCAACCCAAATGTCCATCCATAGATGAATGGATAAAGATGTTGTATATTTATACAATGGAATGTTACTCAGCTATAAAAATGAATGAGATCTTGCATTTGCAGCAACATGGATGAACCTAGAGGGTATAATGCTAAGTGCATTAAGTCAGACAGAAAGACAAATACCATATGATTACTCATATGTGGAATTTATGAAGAAAGAAAAAGCAGACGAAAAAAAAAAAAAACACTCAAATACAGAGAATTGGTGGCTACCAGAAGGGCAGTGGGTGGGGAGATGTGTGAAATAGATAAAAAGGATTAAGAGAACACTTATTGTTATGAGCACTGAGTAATGTATGGAATTACTGAATTATATTGCACACTGGAAACTAACACAACACTGTATGTTAATTATACTTTAATAAAAATTGTAGGAAAAAACTGAGGGAAATTTTTCTCAAACTAGAATTCTATAACCATTAAAATTATTAGTCAGATATGAGAATTGATTAAAGACCTTTCTATGTTTGCAAGATGGAAAAATGTTTTCACCTGTTTTTCTTTTTTTTAGGAAGATGAATAAAAGTGTTTGAGAGAGGAAATTTTGAAAAGAATTATCTGATGCAAGAAAATGCCACCAAAATTGAAGATGAGTAAAAAGACTTCAACAGGATGAAAGAATGGGACAACAAGGTTAAGTTCATCCAAGCCAGATCAGAGAAGGAAGATTTTATTTTGGAGGAGGGTATCTGTCTGCAAGGTGTCTAGGAAAGAGGAAATATCTGGACATGTAAGAAAAAATGTTCAAGGAGTTTTTACATACCTGTTTAGACACCTGAGAGAAACACTAGTGGTTAGACAATTAAAAAACTAAGCAATAGGGGCGCCTGGGTGGCTCAGTGGGTTAAAGCCTCTGCCTTCAGCTCGGGTCATGATCTCAGGGTCCTGGGATTGAGCCCCGCATCCGGCTCTCTGCTCAGTGGGGAGCCTGCTTCCTCCTCTCTCTCTGCCTGCCTCTCTGCCTACTTGTGATCTCTGTCTGTCAAATAAATAAATAAAATCTTTTAAAAAAAAAAAAAAAAACTAAGCAATATTTTAAATGAAGCTTTTTTAAAAATTTTTATTTATTTATTTGACAGAGAGAGATATAGCGAGAAAGAGAGGGCCAAGGAGAGCGAGTGGCAAGCAGAGGGAGAGGGAGAAGCAGGCTTTCTGCTGAGTAAGGATTCCGATGTGGGACTCGATCCCAGAACCCTGAGATCATGACCTGAGCTGAAGGCAGATGCTTAACCCACTGAGCCACCCAGGTGCCCCTAAACAAAGCTATTATTAACTCCAGGAAAATTAAAGAGTTGTATAAGAAAGGAACAGTGCACAACAGTATAGACACTGGCATAAGGAGCACTATTAACTGAAATTTATTTGGAAGATAGGGTTAGTGGCCTTATATAAGAGAATTAAAATCTCAACCTCTATTAAATGAAGCCAGTAGGTAACATTATTTGAAGCAACAAGAAATAGCAGGAAAAGCCTATTAATTGGAAATATGGAGGCAAATAGCAGAAAACGGAAGGATTTAAAGATTATTTCTGGGGTAGGAAAGACTGCAACAGGAGATAGCTTTTTCTTTATCAATATTTTAGCACCATCTCTTAACTATGTACATGTGTCTCATCAATAAGACTATTCAAAAACTATAATCAATGACATTTCATTCATTAATGAAGATTAAGGTCAAACCGAAAAGTTGTCTTGAGACAACTAAGTCCACCCTAGGTCCACCTTGTCATAGAGTATGTTATTAGCTACTTTATGAAGACAAGTAAAGTATGCTTCCTGACTTACTTGTGACATAAAAGTGAGAGAACTTATTTAAAAGTCACATCTGGGGGGCGCCTGGGTGGCTCAGTGGGTTAAAGCCTCTGCCTTCAGCTCAGGTCATGGTCCCAGGGTCCTGGGATCAAGCCCCGCATTGGGCTCTTTGCTCGGCGGGGAGCCTGCTTCCTCCTCTCTCTCTGCCTGCCTCTCTGCCTACTTGTGATCTCTCTCTCTCTGTTAAATAAATAAATTTTTTTAAAAAAGTCACATCTGGGATCTAAATAAAAACCTGAAACTAAGAAAAAAAGTCAGGCATGAGAATAAAAAGTAAATGAGTTGAGGCTAGAATAAAAAGAAATAGAATAGAAATCAAAGTTCTACAC